AGTGTAGGTGAAAGAGACCTGGGGGTCCTGGTGGACAGGAGGATGACCATGAGCCAGCAATGTGCCCCTGTGGCCAAGAAGGCCAATGGCATCCTGGGGTGCATTAGAAAGGGTGTGGTTAGTAGGTCAAGGGAGGTTCTCCTCCCCCTCTATTCTGCCTTGGTGAGGCCACATCTGGAATATTGTGTCCAGTTCTGGGCCCCTCAGTTCCAGAAGGACAGAGAACTGCTTGAAAGAGTCCAGCACAGAGCCACAAAGATGACGAAGGGAGTGGAACATCTCCCTTATGAGGAGAGGCTGAGGGAGCTGGGTCTCTTTAGCTTGGAGGAGATTGAGGGGTGACCTCATCAAAGTTTACAATTATGTTAAGGGGGAGTGTCAGGAGGACAGTGCCAGGCTCTTCTCAGTGATGTTCAGTGACAGGACAAAGGCCAATGGGTGCAAACTGGAGCATAGTAGGTTCCATGTAAACATCAGAAAAAACTTCTTTCCTGTGGGAGTGACAGAGCCCTGGGACAGGCTGCCCAGAGAGGCTGTGGAATCTCCTCTGGAGACATTCAAACCCCCCTGGACACGTTCCTGTGTGATGTGCTCTGGGTGATCCTGCTCTGGCAGGGGGGTTGGACTGGGTGATCTTTTGAGGTCCCTTCCAACCTCTAAGATTCTGTGATATAAATAAAATCTCTCACAGAGAGTAAGAACTGCTCTTCCTGAAGGAGAGGATAAAACCTATAAATGCATTTCCAGAAGCATATTTGTCTACGCATTCTAGTTTAAAGCGGTTGTCTCACTAATTGTTACTCATTAGCCAGGTTCAATCTACATCAGAAAAAGGACTACTCAAACTAGGACAAGACCTTGTTTACTCTAGCAAAACAAAGAACCTGGTGGGTTTTAATTCAAGAAGCAAAGTACTACATAGTCACCAAGCAGGGGAACCCCTGGGGATAGCAAATAATGCAGGCACCTAACACAACACGACTTATTTCTGGTGATCAGTGGCAGCCTAATGAAGTGGACAAGTAACATTTGAAAAGAAAAAAGAAAAATAAATCCCAAAACCAGTTTCCTAGTATGCCTTCCAGATTTCTTCCTGGGTGTTTTATTGCTCACAGTCTGAGTTCCTCTCCATTATTATTTTCCTTCTGACTCCACAGTGCAAGGGAAACAGCAGATTCATCACCTCTGCTCTACTTTACCTATACCACCTGAGGAAGGTTTCAAAGGGCAAAATACAGAGAAGGGTTCTAGGATAGAAAAAGTAGCTAACAATCCTAATTAACACTTTTTTTTCCCCTCCCCCTATTTAACATATTATCAAGTGACATTTTTAATTTTCAGGTGGTATTTTCAATTTGAAATACAGGGAAATCCTTCTTAATGGCCACCGCTATGGAACAAAAATAGCAAATGGATTCCTTAAGGGAAATTAAGTGTATGTTGATTACGACTTTATAAAGCACTTCACAAATATATCATCATAAGGTTACTTTTTTTCCCTGAAAAATTAGCATTTAGCTACCAGTGCTACGACATCTGGGAGCATATCATTCTAGTTCTTGATGTACGGCTCAGAAATTACGATTGTTGAGATCACATGAAAAAGAATTACAGTGGTTTTCCTTGCCTCATGGGCTAAATCTATTCACTGAGATTTTTGCCACTGCACAGAATTCTGCCACTGAACACAAGAAAGATCTGAAACAGCAATACAGACAAAAACTGAGCTGCCCATCAGCAAAGCTGACCTTCCTCTTGGCATACAGGTCATAGCTAGCACAGGTTCTATCACAACACAACCAAAAAGAATACACTTAGGCTTTGAAAATAATTTTTTCCTAACATCAGCATCAGCAGCCTTTTCCTCATCTTCTTGAACCTTGAAAAGTAATGGAAAAAAGAAGAGAAAAAAACAGATACACAGATTATATCAGATACAGCGATCTGGAGGAGAATGTTACTTCTGTAAAAATGACCACCTTAGAACAAAGAACAAAAACTAAGACATTTATATTCATGGACACATCTGAGTATCCAGCAAAGCTTGAGAACAGCACACTTATTTGCATGTCTGCAATGTATTAGATAATGGACATTCAATGCTAAATGTATTGTCCCACATTTATATGACACATAAAAGGACTTGATGTCAAAAGTTTTCTGGTCAATTTGTCTTTCTCCAGAGCTGTGTCACAACCACCCATGATGCCCACATCTGGCCCACATGAACACAGTACATATCCTTCTCTTTCCTCCTCCATGGTATTATTTGCCTTGAAACAGTCACTCCTGCATCTTACAATAAATTCTTCTGAAAAGTCTTCAGGCATACCTGTCACCTCACACTTCTTACAGTGCCAGGAGTCATGGGGCTCTCCTCATGATTTCAGTCTGCAGGTATCAGTAAATAACCTAGTAACATAGCAGTTGTAACAAGTAACAGTGTCTTAGCACTCATACCTCTTTACCACCCATGGCTTCGAACATCTTCTCTAGCTGCACCCTCAGCTGTTGAATGTTATTCATCAGGATGCAGGGCTGAAGAGACAAAAGCAGGTGCCTGTTACTGCTCAGGCTGCAAACATTTTCACCAGTGTGTACCTCAGCATCCTTCCCCACGTACTACCACACCTGAGAGCCCAACAGAGGTGGGGCATGAACAGATTTCAGCACTCAAACCTCAAACAGACAAATACTTTCCATCTCCAGCTTGAAACAGGATGGCCAGTCCAAGAAATCCCAGATCAGGGAGATCTCTGCTGTTGTATTTTCCTCCTCAGCTTTATTACAGAGAACGAGCTGGCAGGAAGTCAGTGTCAGGACAAGGCCCAATTCTCTGCAGCTCCTGCCATGTGTCCAAGCTGTGTCACCTTCAGCCTTTTAATGCTGCAATGTACTGTTGTGAATCGAGTACATCCCAGATCAGCAGGGGAACTGCCAGCCAAAGCTGAATTCAGAGACATCTGGGTCCTGGCAGGCCAAGGTTGGAAGCAACAGCTTGGGGCAACCTAGGGAACAGGCTCTTCCCTCTGAAGGTACATCCCCAGTACAGGACACAGCCAAACCAGCATGGGACAGACCCAGGGTTCAAAAATGTTGTATTTAATACACATAATTTTACTTAATTCAGGATTAAATAGAAAGGTAATCAGATGGAGACAACAGTAAGCCAAGAGTGCTGCAGAGTAAGTACCAGCTCTACAGAGCAACTTGTGCCCATGTTCCAGTAGTGAGGTTTTTTAAAATCACCTCTGTGACACACAACCCTGATAGGCAGGGAGGAACCTGACAGCCTCCAAGCCCTGCAGATCACTCTCAGGTCCCAGTTTTATTTTACAGTCAAGACAAATAAATCCAGAAAAACACAGGAATGATGAAAAAAGAATAATACTGAAAATATTTACACCATCAACACAGTCAGGTGGAATGCGATAAACTGGTTCTTATGAGGATAATTATGTGATTCCCCAGGGCAGAAGGAAAACTTTGCATGACTCACCAGTTTCTCCTTGGAACAGTAGGACTCAAAGCTCTTGGAGAGGATGTCAGCATACTGCATCAGCACTTTCCCAATAGTCTATGAAAACAAGATGTGATCACTGTTATTCATTCTCTGCCACTCCAGGAGAAATCCAGGCAATAAAACCAAAAAAGCATCCTACTGTTTTCATCCCTCTAAGGGAAGATAAACAGCTGGATGTTGAGGATGTTACCTTAGCAAACCTCCTATTATAATGAGCAACAATGACAGGGTCTGGGCACTCCAGCTTCTTGATGATCTCAAAGCTCTGATTGAGCTGGGTGAAAACATCCACCACTGAGCAAGAGAACAGAGCATGCTCGGATGTTTGCTGGAACTGAAAGAGAAGTACAAAAAGTCTTTACCAAATGGAAAGATATGAATCACACCCATTTCATGGCATCTCCATCATCTGCCATATTGGAGGCAGGACAACTTTACCAAAACCTTCTTCCTTAGAATTAGCAAAAAGTTTTCCAAAAGGCACAGAAGAGCAAAACAGCCAATTCTCTTGTGTCATAGGTTCACTGTCCTTCACCAACAGTGACATGACAAGCACCAAGGAAATGCAACATGATGCTGAGACCTTTCATGAAATGCGTGGCTTGCCTGTCAGTTAATGAGGAAAGGAGGAGAGAGTGAAGAGCTTATTTTTTATTTTTCTTAAAATATACATATTAGAGAGAATGCTTACATTAGCATCACAGACTACAGTGTCAACAGTCACTGAATAAATGAGAAGACTTTGCCCTCCATTGCGAACACTCAGTAAATTAAGAGAAAGATTAGTCTGCCAATGGATTAAGGCCACATTCTCACTGCATGACTAAGAACATACAAAATGCCTTATATTTCAATTGTACCTCATGGAGAGATGAGAGAAGACAAGGATTCTGGCTGACAGATTAGCAGCAGTAGAACAGAACAGTCATAAAATATATGCACCTTGATATTAAACAACTCTGTGACCTTTAGAGAAAAGTGCTAAAATAAACAAGTGTCCCCGGTTTTTTAACAAACAGAAAGGGATGCATCCTCCATCTGTATGACAGCTGAATTTACAGCATTTTGTTTGGTTCTGAGCACTGAAGGACACAGCGCGAAGTCCTCCACTCAGAGTGACCTACTTACCCCATCTTTTTTATCTCTCTCCAGAGCACCATGCAGGAAGTCTAAGGAAACATCTTCATTTTCATCCAGCCACTGCATCACAAACTGCTCAAACCACCTGCAAGAGAGACAAGAAAGACAGCAAGTTACACCAAGAAAGAGCACCCCAACAGCAGAGTTGGGGAACAATGTCAGCAGCACTCAGAGAGTGCTGCATTTCAGCAAGCCTTGTGAAACTCGTAACATTAGATTCCTGACTGCTGTTACCTGTCTGTGCAGCCAAAGTTCCCAAAAATACTGCTACCTGTGCCCAAGCTACCAGTGAGCAGGAGCTGTACAATCACTTGGGCTGGACAAGGAGGACACAGTTCACACTCTGCAGTTTGTTGCTCCTGTGCTAGTTTTGTCCTTTCCTCTTTCTTTGTACCTTTTCTTTCCCTTGAGCACCAGCACTTTCCATCATCTCAGAGCACTTCGTCTTTTCTTCCCCTTTCTCTCATGTGCCAGATAGAACAGAAGAGACCTCCAGTATCACTATCCCTGCATGCTGAGAGAGATGGTACACTGTTCTGCTGCCCATTTGTGTCTACCATCTTTCACATGAGAACTGCAAGAGAGTACAACGGGAGGAAAGAAAGTGCCTGTTCTCCAGCACACTTCAGCTGGGTTTAGTGCAGACACAGATATATTTCTAGAGTACCAGGAGGAAGAATCCAGGCTAGAAGTTTTCTCCACTTTAATCTTGCTCGCCCTTTCCCCAGGCCTTCTACAGTACATGCTCCCGTTTCTGTGGACTGCTGATCTCATTGTGAAGGTGCTTGAGTAAGACTAACTTCTGGTGACAGAACAGCACATCTAGTAGGAATCTTGCCAGCTCTCTAAGCAGCTCTTGATTGCTTCTGCTTAAAGAAGTACAAACTTAGTTCACTGAATGCTGGACCAGCAGCTTTGGAGCATGGTACTAGAAGCAGCACAGCAAAGTCTATCTCTACTCCTTCTCCTCACTTAGGAGGACAAGCTAGAATACAAGCAGCTGCTGAAACAGCTACAGCTTTATCTCAGAGAGATACACAGGCGCTACCTCCTGCATTGAACCTAAGGCTTCTGCACAACCCCTTCTTGGCCAAACAGACAAGGTGAGAAGCAGCTTCAGTGATGGTGTCTTATAGATGGTCATCCCTCTGTTCTCTGCTCTGTAGGACGTATTCACATAGTACAAAAGCAGGGTGGGGGCTGGGAGGAGGGCATGTATGTCTGTGTTTAAGCAACAACACAACACTTAGAGCTTTATTTAAATGTCTGTCTAGGATTTTTTGTGTGCAAGTGCCAAGATGCCACAGCTGAAGTAAATCTAATTTCAAATACTTCTAAACAGCATTCTACTAAACAGATAAGGGAAAATAGTACCCATGTGATTTCACAGAATCATCGAATGGTCCATACAAAAGATTATTATGAGCTTCACAAAGTACAGTCTCCTTTAAACAGGCAGCTGTGTTCGCAGATTGTGCTAATTATGGGCTGAGTTTGCAAAGAACATGAAAGCATGTGGCAGACATGAGAGGGATATCAAGAACGAACTCACAGAGCGTACTAGATAGCCTTAAATACTCCCTACACTTTGAAATAGAAAGCACATCAATGCTAATATTGGAAGGTGTAACTAAGTGTTAAATGCCAACACCAACCTGTCTATGCAGCCCTATTTAATACAGACAGCAGCAGTGGAACACTGTCACAGGCATATGGACTTGTGTGTTCAGGAAAAATTCCTTTGAATGGTATATTTGCCTCCTAAAAGCCAGCACATTTCAGAGCTTGCTTTAAGTTTCCTGAGCTTTAATTATTTTTTTTTTATTAATTACAATAGCATATTTTAAAGTGACAGCTCAATCCTTAGAAGAGAATTCAAGCAATTTACAAGGAAGCAAACACACATCTTCCATCTCCTTCAGGGGTTTCCAGGCTACAAGTTGCTCACTGCTTCACATGTCTTAGGTCCAGGTCCAAGGAGGGTTACTCGCTTGTGCCAGAAGGCACAATTTCCAGTCTGAGAAGTAGAACTGATTATTATTCATCTTTATTGCACTGTATCCATAAGGGCCATTCATTGTTGACAACAGTGATTGCTCATTTTTATGGCTAACAAATGTTGATACACAAAATCAAGTGCATAGGTATTTTACTGTCTAAACAAAGGTAGTATGGACAAAAGCACTACTGGGGGGTGAGGGTGGGAGTTACCACCACCTCAGGCCCAAATGAAAAAAACTTCCAGAGAAAGGTTTAATACGAATGTTTAAGTGCAAAATGAACCATATGGATCAGGTCAGAAAATTCTTTAACTACATTTGCAAAGCCAGTCACAATTTTGTCCCTTATTGGCTGGCAGGAAAACAGAAGAGAGATAAATTATCTATAAATACTTCCACTACCTGGGCACATTCAGGACCACAATGTGCTTTAAGTTGTAATACAAACTTAGAGTTACCTTAGTTCAAATAGCCCTTAAAGGGTTTCACTACCAGGTCTTGGGCTGCTAAGCAAATGACTGGGGACTCAGAGAACTATGAAGGCAGTACATCCAAAATTATATTAAAAACCATATAGCGCAGAAACTAATTACAATAATCTGAATTCATGCAGAAATAGCTTCAAAATGTTATTAGATGGTAAATACCTTCTTCCTCATCTGCTTGAATTATTGATCTAGAAGCAAACGTTGTAATGACTTACACAACAGCACAAGGCAGAGGCTCTTGGAGCTGCTTCAGAGACATTCTGTGCTTGCAGTGGCCAGCACAGCCTGACTTGACATGGTACAGGCAACCTCTTCAAACCAGGTTTGCACAAAAGATGCCTCAGTCTTGTCTGCCAGGAAAGGGAGCAGTGCTTTGTGACTAAATGAAAGTTCACCTCTGTCGGTTGCACAACAGTAATGTAGCAAAAAAAGGCTGCAATTTCAGCTTGGCCATGAGCTCCTGAGTAAGGCTCCTGTGGCCTTAGGCTTTACAGGTGAATTAATCTTCTTCATCTGCTGAGTTGATGCATGTGGTACCCAATGAACACTTTGTGGGCCTTGGTATGTTCAGAGGCAAGCAGCCAGGCTGGGTTTCAAACACTAAGAGAATAAAGACTATGTTTGATGAAGTGAGCCAGAAGAATGACAGGATTTTGAAGAAAGTAGTCTCTAGTACAGATGCAATACTAGCTGCGTGCTAACATCCATATTTAGACAAATCATAGTACACTTCTTTACACATCAGAAAAACACAGGAAACTGATACTTCTCAGCTTTTAGCTGGCAGCAAAAAAGCGAAGAGAGGAAGTTTTGAAGATCCATGCCCAGCTATCTACCTCAGCTTCAGAAACTGCTCCTGTATTTCAGAAAATAAAGAGAGCATGAAAACTTCAGCTTCAATAATATGGAGCCTTCACTTTATTTAATCATATCTCAAAGTTAACAGAAACATGGCTTCTTGTAATGAAAAACAAGTTTGTGGAAAGCCTTTTGTCTGCTTTGAAAGACAACTTCTGGGGGCTGTTCTCTGGACAGCAGTAGTTTAGATTTTCTAAAGACTTTACTGATGAGCAAACCTGATGCATTTACTCTTTTGTTTAAGGAAGCTTCAAGACTGAAAATACTGGTGATGAAGCAAATCAAAGGACAAGAGCACACTGCAGTAGTTGATGCCAAGGGGATATTTTGTCACAGGTGAAGGTTTTGGCTGAAATAAACATCACCTGTGTCTGACAATGTCACTGTTGTACTGAAGTACACTACTGGAGTAAAAAAGCCAGTGGCTGCAAATGTACATGAGCACTGAATGTCTATCAGAAAGGCCAGCAGGGCAGAACAGTCTACTCAGACTGTACAACCAAACTGAGCATCATTACCCTGATTACACAGGAGAAAAAGAAAGATTTAAAATATCTGACAACTTGCTTGAGACTGCACTGACTCAGAGGCACAACAAAGAGAACAGGGCCTCTGAGACTGTCACTTCAACACACTGTTCACTGAGTCAATGCCTCTTGCTGACCTGATTTGTTAAGCAAGGCCCACAGTCCAAGCTGAGAAATTATACCAACTGCCACAAGTTGTATTAGTATGCAGCTAGCAGCAGGCTGGAGCGACTGCATCAGGGCAGGATGGGAAGAGAATTCAAAATGCCAAACTGTAAACACAGTCCAAGCAAGATGTTTTTTTCAAGAGGGGCAAGTGCCAAGTGTTGCATTTAGACAGCAGCAAAGAGTCATATATAGGATGGAAAGAACAGCCAGGACTGTTGAGGGTGTCTGGAGGCTGGTTTGGGGCCCACTGGAGGCATTGCCAGACAAAAATACCACTGAAAGTAAAAAAAAAAAAAAAAAAAAAAAAAAAAAAGGCTGCTTTTCCAGAGTGCAGTAACAGCAGCACTTCCTGCAAAGCAGTGGAAGGCAAGGTCTTGATGAAACAGCAGTATTTCAGTCTGCGTGTTGTTTGTCCAGACACTGAACAGCTGGAGAGAGACAGGTAAACCTCACTTACAAACAGGAACAAGCAGAAGACTGGGAAGGGACATGAGAAAAGCATTTATTTTTCTTGAAAAACAGGAACAAATTTTCTCCTTGCCCCGGCTGGTAGGACAGGACATAATGAGCTCAAACTGAAGCAAGAAAGATTTGGAGGAGGAAAAGGGAGAGTTAAATCCCCAAAAGCCAGTGAAGGGCTAACAGAGAAGCACAGAGGAAAAAAGCTGCTTGAAGGAGATGTGGCACAATCATCACTGAAAGCCCCTGAAAACCAGTTAAATACGTGTGAGAAACAACAGACCTGCTCTTACCTTAGGCCAAGTATAGGACTCAAGCTACAGTATTGTCTCCATGTTGGTCAGAAAACTTTTTGGGCTTAGAAACCTTCTTTAGGTCTCAAATCTACTAATGCTCTTTTAAAGCTAAAGAGAAGTTGCAAAGAATTGCTTAGATGTTAAGAGCAACTGTTTATCTGATGTTTCCAATTAAACCACCTGGTTCTAGTAAAAAAAGAAAACATTATATTTACTTACAAATCCTCGTGTATGTGTACACATGACATTCTTACACACACATACAGACTCACATATAGTACATCCAAATAAAGTTGTATCTGTTAATATGAACATAAGAAAATGTCCACAAGTCTGCTGTTCGAGAGTTGACCAAATTCCACACTGCAATCACAAAGTGGATTAAAGACTGTTTGTGCCAACTGCAAAAGTTCTTGAGATCTTGGGAGGTACTGCACAACAAGGGATTGAATTGTGTCTGGTGGCACAGAACACCAAAGGGCACATAAACACAGGACACCAGGAGTGGTGAAATGGTGTATCATGAAGGCAGCCACAGGAGAATCAAATGACTGCCCTGAAGGTAACAGAAGGAGATGCAAAGTGGGGATTTACTGCAGGAGACATAACACACTCACGCTGGATATTCAGGCACTCTTCCCTTGAAGGCAGGTAGATCACGAACATACTCATTGTACAGCCACTTCACTTTGAAGTGTAAGTTCATATAGTCTGCACTTTTACATAGTCTGTGTTTCTCATGCTCTGTAAGGAAGAAAAAAAAAGCAGTTAGGTCCAAATTTATCAGTATCACTGCATCAGGCACAGGAGGGTCTTATAAAGCATGTCCACAGTATGCAATGGTTTTGAGGATGAAGCAGCTATAGAGCAACAAAATCTCCACAGCAGGATTTTGACAGCAGGCTGGGGTTCTTCATGGTTGGCTGTTGGGGATCCAGAGTTCTGTTGCAACAATTAATAATTCCTTTTGTTGAAGACCTTTTGGTTGTCACAGCAACTAAAATAGAGCAATCTCTTACGGCCTTTCCATGTAACGTACAACAGTCCAGATTTCATCTTTGCAGGAAACAAATCAAGGAGAGTGAATCTGTTCACTCTTGGATATAAACAAAGGCAATATCAATGTGTTAGACTACATCACCTAAGAGACAGGAGTGAAAATAATAAAGTTCTTTGGAGTTTAACAGTCTGAGTCACAAGCAAGGGTAAACAAGCTGAACAGGAGCTGAAAACTTCCCACATCCCCAGTTTGGAGAAATTCATGACACTTCTCTTTCAGAAGGCAACACTCTTCTCATTTGCATTGCCTTCCTGAGCATAGTCCACTGAAAAAACCTATAGGGGACTGCTGCTGAGTCTCTTCCTCTTGCCAGGATTCATTATGTTTTGGGACCCAAGCTATGTCAGAACAACACAGTTCCTCCCTGTTTAATGCACATACCTCCACAACACTACCCTTCCCACACACCTATGCTGACAAAGCACTTGCCATATGTAGACGTACATTTTGCAGAGATCATCTCCCTAGACCACTGCTCCCTGCTCCCCCTTCTCTCTCACAAGAACTGCCTGCTTTATGTCTTCGCTCCCAAGGCTCTTCACAGCCTCCACAGGAGGCTCCTTCTACTGCACTGCTTTTCTTCTAAATCCTCCTTGAAAGGAACAGAATTAATTCCTTTTTCATAATGCTAAAAGGACTCAGCAGCCAGTTTTCATCTGCACTGAGAACCTGAATTATCAGCTGACCAATCCTGTACCACCACTCCCTAGTGCTGCCTGTTCATATCCATCTCTTTCTTTTCCAAGCTTCAACAGCATGAGTATACTTTGTGCCAGCCTTCTTTGTTCACTCTAGCACCATGGCACACTGCTAGTCCATGACTACAGTGTGAGATATGAGACTAAAACATGCATTATTTTGGCTTAGACTCATGTTTTTTTCCCCAAACTTTGACTTCAGACTCATCTTCCTACCTTTTATGTGGTTACCTCATTATTGATATAACTTCCCAAGGGCATCACTGCTGACATGTAGGCAGGATCCAACTATGTTAAAAAGAGAAAGTCTTTCTCTTAACTTTGAATGCCTTTTATCTGGGACTTCGTGTACAAGCACCCAGTAACTGGGTAGATATATGCGCATGCAAGCAATACATGCTACAGATACTCATTAGCAAAAGATACATCTCAAAGATGTAAAATGGTCCCAGTTTTCTAATCAATTACCTGACAGACAAGCTTATCTTATTATATAATCTATTTTCATGCAAATGTGAATTCTTGCAACTATTTCAAAATCTTAAGAAACCTCCACATCTCTTGAAGATTCAGTAACATGCAGAAGAAGAAAGCCCAAATAAATTATGAATTATCCAACTGAAAACACAAAAAATAAAGAATTTGTAATGCATCATTATTTCATGAGCTTTGTCAGCTCCCAAAGAAGTGGAACACACCAGTAAGTTATTTGCAAAACACTGCGGCAGAGCAATACAGATCTCCTTCTAATTCACATGTAGGAGATTCACACAGATACAATCTCAAAAAAAACACAACAACCCAAATGAACAAACAAAAAACCCACAACCTTTGTTTTAAATAAATTAAAATGCCCAGTATCTGAGACACATAGTCCCCAGGGGTCATGGATAATGGACAAATTATGTATGATACTATTGCACATGTACTAGGATCCATCTACTCTCCACGTGAATTCTCTTGTACTGGAGCCAAGGAAAGTCCATTGATGTTTTCCATCAATAAATCTAGTATCTTTCTTGAGCACTACGGAAGTATAAGCATACTCAGTGTGTGAATTGCTGACCTTCCTCAAGAACAACTGCAGAAGAAAATGCAAAGCTCTCTCCACAGCTCTAAAACTAGAAACAAACACAGCAATGACCATGTCTGCTTAGCTCCCTATGGGAGTGAAGAAATCAACAGAAAGCAATAACTTAATTAACTTTGATAAGCACAGCCACCCATGTGCTGCTCCCACAGAAGAAAGGCCTGACTTGGAGGTAAAAAGGACTAAAATCAGATTTATTTCCTCAAAATTAAGCAGAGCACTACAAGCAAGTAATTCAAGCCTTTTCTACTTTCTAGGACACTTAAAACATTACTAAGTTGCAGAGGAGGAAAACGCAGAGCAGCCACAGAAGCATAAACCCAAGGACTGCTACTAGGACTACCTAGCCAACTAAGCAGTAAAGGCAAGGCTTGGCACCAAGGGGATAAAACTACAGGAAAGGAAAAGGAAGAAGGAGAGGTCTTACCACCATAAAAGAGAACTTTACGTATGCGAAAGAAAGGTGGGGCTAGTGACAGAGAAAAGAAAAAAGTGAACTGCAACAGCTCAAACATGCTGAAAGACAAAGAAAGCCAACAAAACCCCCAACCCCCCTCATTTCCAACAGCTCCTACCACCAGCATTCCCTCCTTTAAGGACATTGCATGATTCTGATCAGCTGCTTTCCTTGTAAGAGAAATGGCTAAGAGCTTGTGAAAGTGACATGGAAAGACACTGGCCAGAGGTGTGCTTTGAAAACCCATTTTAGAAAAAGTAAAGTGAACAGCGAGGGTGCCACCAGTCTTAGCACATTTCTGTTCTGCTTTATAACCTGCTGACTTTTTAAAAGCTTAGCAGCAGCAACAGTGGAAGAGTGCACAGGTATTTTGCAGCAACTGCTGTGTTTTATCCTGAAAAAAGCACAGAGTTCTTTAAGTCTCTCACACTTCTTCAGAAGATTTCATCTGCAGCCTACTCTGGAGAAGAGCTTTTAGGCCATATTATTAAGGTATTAATAGGGACTTGCTTGCCAGCAGCACACTTTCTTACGTTGTGTCAAGCTCTATTTTTTGGGCAGAGAACAGGACTTTCACCACACCCTTAATCCGTGAATTTTTTTTTTTTACCATCAGCCTACTTTGCATGGGCTAGTTTCTAGCAAATAATGTTGAATTTCTGCAAAGAAACTCTGGTAGGTACTGAGGCTGCTGAGGTGCTAACAGTTTAGACAACTGGCATCTGTGTCTGCATCTGATTCCCGTCCCCTTATCAGAAGTGAGACTGCTGCAGAATGATTTCTTTCAATCTTGCCCAAGTCTACTCAGTCTCTCTTCCTATTAGAGATGCTTCCAATTTACAACTCTCCTAATGCTGGTGTATCCAAATTAAGATGAACCATTGCTGTCACAGATGACACTGATCTTCTATTATTGTATTTTAATGTCTTTCAGTGAAGGAAGAGCAGAAGTCCTTTTTGCTCAAACAGCTTGTGCTTTCAGGATCACAGAGATTTCAGAGCACAGTGAGAAAACTAGTAACTCCAGTTACCAGTGTGGTCACAAATAGATTATCTAGCTGCTGAGCACAGGTCAGCACCCTAGAGGTGGAGCTAACAGTATGACTTAGAAAAATAATCCTCTACACTGCAGTAACTCCAGGGTAGCATGATCTTGCCAGCCAAGTCTGGTCAACATGACCTATCTGATCTGTTTTCCTCTTGGGTTGACAGGGAACAAGGTTTACTTCTCAATGCCTCATCTTGTACAGCCTTCGCTGGTGAGGAGGGAAGGGCCAAGTCTGCTGTTCATGGTGCCCTAAACTGTCACTGTTTTCGGGGAGAGAGAAAACAGAACAAGATGGGCAGATCCTGGAGCTTCCACTCGGAGCAGCAAAGCCTCCTTAGGGAAGACAAAGGCAAAAGATTGGTCTAGTGTGCACCTACTCTCCAGCAGGCAAACACACTCTGCCATAATTATTGCTACCAGTTGCTGAACATATTTTAAACAGAAAATAAGTGTTTCATTTTTATGACCTGAATGTTTTGCACATTAGCAGTCTAACTCTTCAAAAACTGCCCGAAGGACACATGCTCCAGCATCCACAGGCTAGCAAGGCTTCTGGTTCTGAGGTCCCTAAAAACACTGTACTCCAGGCATAAATTAGTATTTACACATTACCCTGCACAGGCCACACAGTGCACATGGGGGTCAGCTCCAGCTGCAAGAGGAACCATTAGCTGCCATCCATGGGTAAAAAGGAATACAACTCATGGAGCCAGGCACTGCTCTCCAACTTAGAGAAGACACCTCCCACCTGAGCCTCCCAGCTTTCTCTAGAGTGTGTAACAAAGAGCAATGTGGTAGCATCAGGCTGGAAGGAGGGAAGGGGCAGTTTCATGCAGCCAGGCTGGCACTTTTTCTATACCAAAGCCATCACATGGCCTTCAAGCTACAAGAACATTTACTCCCACTGCAGAGTAAAAGGACCAGCGACCCTCAATCATCACCCCAGCCAGGAAGAAAGGAACAGAGCTACACATGAACTAGAGCTCTGACCTCACCATTTTTTTTTCCATCAGATGTTACTTACAGCTTAATACCTGGGGCCCAGCAAAGGGGCTCTCACCCAGAACTGCTCAGTGTATCAGGTACCATCAAAAAACGACTGGAGTGACTAGTCAGAACAGCATCACATACCCTCAGTTTCTGCATCAGGACTATGGTCTTCACATCTTCTTTGCAGATCTGCTCATCGCTGGCATAAAACTACAGGACACTAAAGCTAATGGTAGCAACTACATCCAAAGTGCTTAAACTACAGCTAGCAGATGAAAGTCTTTGCCTACTCACAGCTATAAACCTTACTAAGAAGCACAAACTTACCACTTGGTGAGGTGAATGAGCTCATGCTATCCAGAACTTAGGAAGAGAACATAAGGGAAAACACCGTAAAGAAAGTTAGGAGCAAATATTATACCCCAGGTTCATGTGCATGTATCTCCACAAAACAGATCAGCTTTTGTTACAGAAAGCACCTGATGCATATAGATCTCAGAGCAGACCAGAAATGCACCCAGCAAGTGCTCCACAAACTGACAAAGACAGGAATATGAAACTCTTGGTGTAATTAAACTGGTAGAGAAATTAGCAACTCAAACTGAGAAAGAACAGAGCCATAAGCTGCGGACAGCAAGTCGAATAATCATCTTTCACATCATTTAATGTTTCCTTTAATCCCTTTTTCTCCGAATTAAAAAAAAACAACGCAGTGAGCTAATCCAATCATCTATATTTAAAATACATATAGCAAGGGCTGTAACTGAATTATTGTAGAGCTTGTTATAAAGTTCCTGAGAGCAAAGCAGTGAGGAATCACACATGCCTCAAATAGAATTTGCACCCTGCGGATTTCTTGAATTTGTAAGAGACACACACCAACACTGTTCATCCTCCTGATTAACCTATCATTGTTCCATCCTCCTGAAGGACTTGCACAACTAGAGTACAAATGCATGTACCATGCAGTTTTTCAGCTTTCATTCAAAATGTAGACCACTCCCAGTCCAGCTGCTGCTTTTGTGTCAACTTTTCTCACCAAGAAATACTTCGAAGAGGGATGTTCTTTCAGTTCTTTTCTTAAGAAACTCACAAGTGACCAGAAGGATGTCAGGAAAAGCTAAAATAAGCCCAGGAAGGACAGAGTCAAAGAGGGGGCATGGCATGAGATGTGAACAAAGAAAACCTGGGAATCAAAGTTCACTCAGGCAATCAGAGCCATGCAAAAGAGAAAAAAAAATATAATCAGTCTAAGTCATGTCCCCTTAGACAGTCAATTCATAAACATAACCAGAAATCTTTTTGCAGCTGCATTTTGGATACAGAAGATAATCTTAGGAAAGTCAGCAACTAGATCTGGCAAGATCCAATGCTGGTGCTAGGAAGGAAGAAGATACAACACGTTCAAGTTGTAGAAGTGCAAGCTACATTATAAATTCCAGAGCGTAAGCACACAGAGAAAAATAATGATAAAATAGAAAGAGGAGCCAAAACAGTTGTAGGAGCAAGGATTTTCTGGGGAATGGGAATATGAAGTAACCACAGTAGGCTTAACTCTTAACACATAGTAACAGGCAAATAGTGTCAGACACTATAAAAGAGACTCTTCAACACAGTAGGTCTTACTCTTTCTTCCCGGTGTCTGTTCTTACATAAACACAACCACACAATACAAAGGCAGTGTTGGGTACAAACACGTGTAAGAAGTTCCTAACACAAAAGTGAGAACATTTCACCCAGAAGTGCAGCCTGCTGAATTCAAGCCTAGGGCTCGCAAAGGGTGCTCCCATTCTTGCCCCCCCTCCAGCACAGTCTCTGCCCTTATTGTGTTGACACAGACTGAAAAATACATGGAGTTAATCTCCTTCACTTACAGAACAACGCCACAGACTATTCCCAAAAAACAAAATGCAGGAAACTCTCCTAGCTGGCAGCAGTTTTGTGTTCTTCTAACAGTCTGAAGCAAGATCTTAGGAGGCTGTCACTCCTCAAAGTGACTTAGATCAAACTGGACGAAAATGGATGGAGCATAATTTTGTGAGTGACCAAAAGCAGCAACTGGACTTGGTTTTGGAGTACAAATACAGTTAGCATGCTATAGGCAGCAGTGGCACTTCCATTTTATCACATTATCACCTTAGAGAAAATTACAAAGCCTGACCCTGCAAAACACTGGGAAAACAACTACTAATGCAGCTGCAGAGGTGAACTTCATAAGAAGCTGATTACATTGTGCAAATTAATTTATAGCACAACTTACAGCACTAACAACTGCCCCCTCCTTAGACGTATTCAAGGCCAAGTTGGACAGGGCTTGGAGCAATCTGGTGTAGTGAGAGGTGTCCCTGCCCATGCAGGGAGGGTGGAACTACATGATCTTGTAGGTCCTTTCCATCCCAAATGATTCTGTGATTCTATGAACACCAATTTCAGAAACTAATAAACCATCAGAAAAGTACTGCAAATGGCAAAATTCCTTTCTGGGAGGTTGTTAGGCTCTGCATGCCTAAGTCATTTTAAGAAACAGTCAAATTTTCCTTTACCAGAGACTGGCATGTGGATGCAAAGACTCATTCAAAATGAAGATGTTTGTAGTAGGATTTATTCTAACAGCATATTTCTGGCAATGGCTTAGACAGTATATACTGTATCATCCAAGCAATTACAGCCATGCTACATCCCAGAGTCCACCTATACCTCCAACCCTTTCTACCATTGTACCTTGCATAAATAAGTGGCTGCTGATCTAATCATGACCTCAGGCCAAAGTGAACTTCTGATTTCAAACTAGATGGGATGACCATAAACAGCTTGTGAGACAGCCTAACCCTCAGGTCTAGAGCTCATGGAAATCCCAGCCCCAATTCTCACCTATAAAGCAGCTCTCCACAAAGCAACCACTAGAAATCCCTGCTCCAAATAGCGGTGCTCCTAATGTGCTTAAGCCATTTACACCAAATCGATGGAGAACAAGAGATCAGCAACAAGTCAGATGGCAGCAGTGAGGAGCTCTCCTACCTTCCATGGCGTATTTCATATCCTGGGCAAACAGACTCCACATCACCTCTGCGCTGATCTTCCCAACAGCAAGCTCCTGAGGAAACCTGAGGGGACATTTAAGAAAGGCTTGGGTATGTATTAGAGCAAAGGACTCATTTTTACTCAGGTCTGAGATAAACTGCAGGTTGAAAAGCTCAACATTGCAGATGCTTCTTTCACCCTAGATAAATGACCAGCTAGAAAATGGAGTTCATGGACTGGATTCTGTGAGATAGATTAAATAACCTGAAAACAACACTGCTGTTGAGACTGGTTTAAACTCAAAAAGTCAGGCCCTGAACATGATATGATGTCAATGCCCTTGCATGTTTTTCCCCGTTCTTTTTTTTTTTTTCCGTTTTCTTTTTTATAGGCTGACAAGTGAAGACTAATCAGGTGTCCCTGCCATGTTAAAACCAATTATCGCTACAGTGTACTCCAGCTCTTCACATATAATAACTTGTCAGATATCTCCCTTTCTCCTGCCCTGTGGGACTGCCGAAGTATGCACCAGCTAAATGCACCAGTTTCAGGTTCCTTTTCAATGCTGTTCCAACCCCACGTGATGCAACCTCCCCGAGCTGCACTGAACACCATGTTCCTGAACCACAGTGTAAGGTGTTGTCACCACGGCACCACACCACTGAGTGCATAAATGTGCAAACCAGAACTGCTCAACATCAGAAAAAAACCAAAAGAACTCTCACCCCATTTTCAGGTGCCTCCCTGAGTTCAGGGTTGTAATAATCAGGGTGTTTGTGCTCGAACGCCATCGTAACTGAACCTTTTGAAACTCTTCCATCCCAATCAAAAAGAGTTATTTATATAGACAGAGACAGATAAGACAGAAAGACAGACAAGATAAGTACTTCTATAAATACACAAATGGCAGAAGAGATAGAAAGCAGTTTAACAAATAAAACAGAGCACACAGAGACCAGCATTAGCCATACAGGACATGGAAGATTCTTACTGATTCAGGACTGGGGTATAGGAATTCTTGTCCTCTTCTATGATGGAAACTATCAAAGTTATGAGTTTGGGCCAGAAATCCAGGTTCCTGATGCTCGGGCCCTGCTCCTCAGGAGGCAGGTCCTGACTTTTGTTCTGGGAAGTAATTGGAAAACCAGCGTACATAAAAGAGGAAAGAAAAAGCTGACAAATGTAGATCACCATAGAAGCTCCAAACACTAAATACCTGTGGACCCTTTCTTCTGAAGAACTTAAAATTACTAGTATCTGCTGGCAACTTGCATTATCTAATGCAAAACACAGTAACATGCCAAACCATGTTGCTTACTGGTGTCCTCAAACCCAAATAATTCCCATTTTGTCATTTACCATACCAAGGGCAGATCCAGAAGATCTGCTGACACACCATTTGCTCTGAGGTTGTTACAAATACTTGTAACCTAGATTGGTGACTATATCCATGTTGACAAATTATATGTGCATTACTGCAGAGAAGCCAGTAGAGCTCTCATGGACTTGAAAACAGTGCGTGTCTAGAGGTACCTCCTAAGTCCAGTGCAGGACTCTGGATGCCAGAAAACAAGATAAAATATCACTGCCTGAGGTAATCTGCGCTAAAGACAGGTTTCTTGATCAGTCTATGTTTGCTCCAATTGTCTTTTGCTCACTCAAAGCTGCCTTCACAAATAGCTGCTCAGGAAATAAAATAGCTGAAGCTGGCAAAACAAATTGTAATTAGTTATTGTTAAATCAATTGTCATCCTCCACCTACTAATTAGCATTAATTAACTGATTACAAGTTTTGTTCATTCAGAAGATAACAAGTGACATAATTTTATTTGTGGGAGCTTTTTATATCAATCAGTATTCTGGTTGCTATCTTAAGGAAATCAGAAGTGAGGGTTTCTGCCCATTTATCAGCTACTCACAGGATCTGTCTGGTACTCGCGACTATACAGCTCGTGACAGTTGTTGAAAATGTACTCATAGGTGGAGTTGAGGCAAGCTTTCACACAGTCCTTCACTACCTGGCTGGCTCGGGGTGGGCTCTGCAGCTCTTGGACCTGGCAAGAATACAACAAAGAGAGTAAAGCGAAGCACTCTTCATAAATCAGACAGGGAAGCAGCAAGTCATCAGGGTTTGCAAACTACCCAGGACTTGGAGGACCTTCTTCCAGTGACTGGTGCTATCAGTGACCTGAAAAGATGAAAGGGTCTGTCTCCAGGCATCAAACAGCAGAGACAATCCTTATGATCCCGAACGTTCATTTGGAAAACAAAATAGATTTTGAGGTGCCAAGGAAGATTCCTCAGAATAAATAAACCATGTGGCTTGATATGTGTAACGTAAGCCAAGCACACACAGTTTCTACTAAATTGATAGGATTTTGCTATGAAGCCAGTAAGCAATTTTTTCAAACATTGGAAGAACATGCAACAGACTAGAGGACATTACATCTGATCTGGAATGTCTTTCTGAAGATGAAGCACTCACATGCCTTTAAATACAACAACTTTCTTTAAAGGTTATCTTTCTTCAAAGGCTTCACTGAATTTGAAAGCACACCAGAGTCCTTACAGATATACCATGGAATAGGCCTTCCCCTCTTGCAACATCTCATTATTACACTGTTATGTTGCTTTAGAAAAACAATGTAGGGTTACTTTGAACTGAACAGATGTGCAGGCATCACCCTGCAAATCAAACTATAACTTGAGGCAATTTTGGTATCGTCATTACCTCTAAATTTTTCAGAGTGTTTCTACAAAGCAAACTCAATACAGATACATTGTCTGAATGAACACTTACTTCCAAAATAAAGCTCTAAAACACCATCTACCCTAGGGCTTAAGACTAAAATTTTAAGCACTTCTTAAGATAGTTCAAATTAAAGACTTGCTTTGTTTTCAACAATATAAAAATTACTCAGTAATGTGTGCTAGCTTACAACAATATTTTTTTTAATTATAGAAACAAAAATCAGCCATTAAAAATAATGTCATTACACAATGCTAGATCAACCAGCTTAACTACAGAACCAGCAAATCAGCATTCATAACAACTCTCTTGGATCTCTACTGAGAGATACTACTCCGTTTCAGTGCCTTACCCTCCAAGGAATAATTTTAAAAATATTTACTAGATAAAAGATGGTGAAGAGATGGCAGTCACTGATAAATGTATAGCAAATTTTAAAAGAAATGCTTCTTAATGTTAATAACTAAATTAAATAACCTTCCTAATACCAGACAAATTTCTTTTTTCTTCTTTGGCTTGCTTGGTTTTTGTGTGGGGTTTTTTTGTGTGTTTGTTTGCTGGGGCGTTTTTATTATTTTGTGCCATATTTATGAACAAAGAACCTCGGGGAAAAAAACAGCTTTCATCTTCATGATGAAAAATACAGTGAGATAGAGATAAAATGTGCATGTTTATTACATGGTCAGCAGATGATCTTTATTTTCCTTAGTTGTCTAAAGAATAATAACATGAAACAATGGTTCAAAAATGGAAAATTAACTCCTGTGGCAAAAACTGCAGGGGCCCCATTCCCATCCCCAGCCATTAACACTACCTTCATCCTGAAAAAAGTGATGCTAGTCAGCAAATCCACCGTAGACTTCAGGTCCTGCAGCCGTTCACGGCTGCTGGCTGGGAAGTTGTTCTGTCAACAAAGAAGGGAAATAATGTTGGAAAACACTGTCAGATCCACACAAGGCACATGCTGAATAAGGGAGGTGTCTTGGAAACATTTGCTACTCAACAAGCTTGTATCAGTCCAAACAATGCTCAATAAATATGGCCTTTTTGCTGTAGGAGATGATCTGTTCGTTTAATTAAATGGCTTCTCATATGAATGTAAAGTCTGTGGATGACAGGAGACTGACAACCCTGGGCAGCAGAATTTTCCTTGCCTGTAGAAGGGGCAGGCAAAGAGCAACAGCCTGGGCACCAGTGGTCCTGGCCTTTTGCTTGAGGTTGCTCATGCAGGCCCTTTCCTTTCTGCATTCACCATTTGGTTCTTAGCACCTCTTCTGAGACACCAAGAGATGCAATACATTAGCAGCCTCTCCAGAGAAACTGGACTTTCAGTGGGGCTCAGTTTTGGGGCCAGTCTTGTTTAATAACTTTATTACTGATCTAGATGATGGGACTGAGTTCTTCCTCAGTTAGTTTGCAGATGACACCAGGTTGGGCAGGAGTGTTGATGTGCCTGATGGTGGGAAGGCTCTGCAGAGGGACCTGGGCAGGCTGGATCGATGGGCCAAGGCTGATTGTATGAGGGTCAGCAAGGCCCAGTGCTGGGTCCTGCACTGGGGTCACAGCCACCCCAGGCAGCACTACAGGCTTGGGGAGGAGTGGCTGGAAAGCTGCCCAGAGGAAAAGAACCTGGGGGTGCTGGTGAACAGTGGCTGAACATGAGCCAGTGTGTGCCCAGGTGGCCAAGAAGGCCAACAGCATCCTGGCTTGTGTCAGGAATAGTGTGGGCAGCAGCAGGAGGGATGTGATCTTACCCATGCACTCGGTACTGGTGAGGCTGCACTGCAAGTACCGTGTGTGCTTCTGGGCCCCTCACTAGCAGGATACTGAGGGGCTGGAACGTGTCCAGAGAAGAGAAATCAAGCTGGTGAAGGGTCCAGAGAACAAGTCGTATGAAGAGTGGCTGAGGGAACTGGGATTGTTTATCTGGGAGGAGGCTGAGGGGAGACCTTACTGTTGTCTACAAGACCCCAAAAGGCAGGTATAGCAAGGTGGGTGTTGGCCTCTTTTCCCAAGTGAATTACGATAGGACCAGAGGAAACGGCCTGAAGTTGCACCAAGGGAGGATTAGGTTAGGTATTAGGAGATTTTCTTTACCGAAAAAGTAGTCAGAGACTGGAACAGGCTGCCCAGGAGGTGGTGGAGTCAAGAAATATCTAATTCAAGAAACATGTAGTTGTTGCACTTCTGGACATGTTGTAGTGGGCATAGAGTCTTTTTTTTTTTTGGTGGGTTTTGTGTTGTTGGTCGTTTTAAGGGGTGTTATGGTTATGGTTTTGTGGGGGGTTTTTGTTTTGTTTTTCCTTGGGTCGATGGCTGGACTGTGTGATCTTTTCCCACTGCAACAATTCTGTGATTCTGGAATTTTTTTGACAAATCGATACTGCTGGTTATTCATTAAGTGCTTACAAAAACTTGGTTAAGTTAGGGGAGAGTGGAGGCTTAATCTGGGTAATTTAAGTTGTAAATTGCCACCCTTCCTCTTGCAAGCTGGAAAACCACTCCTTTTCTTCCAGACCTTAACCTGCCCTTAAAAGGCCTTAAAATAATTACTGAGAGCTCCCAAATCACTTCAGCCATTTATCTGAATACACTACCAATTAGATAACATGTAAATCATTTAAACAACTCAAACCTTTCCTGGTCCTTTACCTAAATTCTTGTCCAAGATTTAGTTATACTAGCCACTGGAAAACAGCTTTTATTAAAGAACAAAAAACCAAAAAAGGCTTCACCATTACAACTTCCTATTACCATATGTTGATATTTTTCCCTCCATTACTCCATGTAACACTGCTCTCTTTACACCTTGTCTTACCAATAATGTAGTTTTAGAATACTTATTTACACAACATTCCTATCTGCCTTTGCACCTTGCCCCTTGTCCTTTTAGTGTATCTTCCTTATGCACTTCTCTTAATCTGTTCATGATTCCCTACTCTTGTGTTTTACTGCATTAACCAGAAGAGGATCTACTTTTAAATAAATAAATAAAATAGAAGCTCTCTTTTGCCACCATTTTTATGTTTTTCAATGAATGAGTCACTAATTACAATAACTTATCAAGGAATTTTAAAAAAAACAACAGCCAAGTCACACGATTAGACACTCTTTACTGTTGATTCTGGAGTAGCAAATGAAGAAAGTAGAGGATGTAAGAATTGTGATGGACTGATGTCAACATTTGAACTCATCTCTTCACTATATGCTGAAGTGGAGAGGATCTCAACCTGAGAGCAGATCCTGTAGATCCAGTGTCAGGGGAAGTGATTAGAGTTTGCCATAACTAAAATAAGTGACAACGAGGCTGCAGGTCCTCTAAAAGATTTCTGTCTTACTAGGGGAGAACAAGTCTGTTTTCTCGTTGTAGATTATATCTGGAATAGCTATAGAAGAATAATTCTAATAAATTAATCCAATCAAACTTGCAGTTCTGAGAAAGTATCAGACATTAGCATAGTTCACAAACTTAAATTATTTTAGATGTCTTGAGGAAGTCACAGTGGAAGAGCAACAAGCTTGTAATGACAATTCCATAAGACACAAGCTACCCAAAAGCTTAGAAACATAAGAAAAAGCCAAATGGTGCCCAGCAGAATGCCTGAAAGGATTCTGTTTAGTCCCACTCACCCTGTACATTGAGAGATCAATCCGAAGTGAATTATGAAGTTGGTCCAGAAGCTTCACAAATCGTTCTTTCTGCAGAGCAGAACAAACCAATAAATATCACATATCATTACTGTCCGACTGATGTTCAGATTAAGCAGGATATTAGGAAATGAGTATCAGATTGCAGGAGAGCAGGAGGAAACAATATGGATGCATGATCTTGTGTGAACCATGTTTTAAACACTGGATTTACTTGTACACTAATTATTTCTGAAGTCTGTGTAACATCAGAATTGTCAGGAAAATACTCAATTATCACTCTGAAGTAGAGGCAGAACAAAAATCCAGATTTCTAGTCTGCAATTTGCACCAAACTTATATTTAAGAGTAAACATTTGTTCAGAGATTAATAAAGGAACAGGCAGAAAAGGTTATAATTCAGGGCAATAACACAGCTCCAAGATCTTATCTATTAGCTTGGTGACAAGTATTACAAGCTTCTCATGACCAGGTCTCAAGGCCAGGTCTCTCAATTGGATTCTAGCTTGGCATTGTAAACACCTTCTCTTTCAAGCTATAGATTTTTAGTCCTATGGGAAGCATGAGCATTTGCAAATACTTTTCCAGCACACTCAAATTCATCACATTTTATATAAAAAACATTATTTTAACAAATAGGGGGATAGACTGTTTTTTGGGTTTGTTTTTTTTTTTTTTTTTTCTTAAAGCAGTTGCTGTTTCAAAAACAAAGTTGTGAAACGATCAGATTGCACAGTATATTTTATCAACAACATCACCATACAGAGTTTAATATTATTTGCTCATTTCCATACCATCTGTGCTCCAGTGCAATCTGAGCACGAAAAATAAACATCACAATGCATTACACTAATTAATATCTAAAATGTGCAATGATGACAGCAATAAAACTGTTCTTTGTCTAGAAGACAAAGTCTAGAAGAGCTGCACAGCTTCCTACTCCTCACAGATTTAATGTTCCCTAAACAGAACAAGTTATTTATTGAAAGTCAAAAAACACCTGCAGGCAAATTAGAGAAGTCCAATTGTAACATCACCAAACACACAAACATACCCCAAAATTGGAGGCTGCAAAGCGGTCCGAAGCAGACACATTTGTGGAGGCAGTGGTGTGTGCATAATAAGCATTGATATTGGCAAGTAAGGTGCTCATCACAGCTGGCACGCCTGGGCACATGTATTTAGAGGAGAGACATGCAAAATGCCTGCAAAAGGACAGTTCTGTAAGTCATTCTGGTGTCTTTTGTGTAGCATAACTTGACTCAATTCCTTTAACAGCCCCCTTACTTTGGACTGGCATCACAGGCAGATGAAAGGTAGGTTTTATCTCTCTCTGTAAATCACAGAATTACAGAATTCCTTGGGTTGGAACGGACCTTAAAGATCACCTAGTTCCAACCCCCCTGCCATGGGCAGGGACAACTCTTGCTAGACCAGGTTGCTCCAAGCAGCACCCAACCTGGCCTTGAGAACTTCAGGGAGGGGGCAGTCACAACTTATTTAGGCAACCTGTGCCAGTGCCTCTCCACTCTCACAGTAAATAATTTCTGTCTAATACCTAAATCTCCAGCATCTCAGAGCTTTTTCAGAAGGATGTCATCTATACAACAGATATGCTTCAAACAAGAGAAATCTGAGAAATCCCTTCACTGCAGCCCTTTCACAGTTGTAAAATAGCTCCTCAAGTATTTGATGCCAACAGCTTGTAACTGAGGTCATATCCTAGGTCATAATACCAATTCCTAGAACCAAGCCTGACACAAAGAAATCTGTATATTTTTTTGCCACTTGAAGCAGCCACAAGTTCTGAGGTGACATAAAGCAGCAGCAACTGGAAAGCATTCAAGCACAGCAAGATCACACGCTAGTATTTCTGTGCTGCACTGATATGTGATTCCCTAGGGCTAACCCTTCCAGCCTGCAGGAAGCCTGCATGCTCATTTGCATTTTCCCATTTAACTGCTCTCATTAAAGTGCAAGGAGCCCTCCTGCAGGAAATCTCAAAATTATGCCAAAAGCACCCAGGCCTGTGAAATGATTAAACAATCAAAGAAAATCTGTTAAACATAAGGGGGGAAAAAACATCAGAGCTTAAGAGGTCTGATATTATGGGACATGGCAAGTAAAGTTCATTCCAACAGACAGGAGAGCTGGGCCATTTTTAAGCAGTCCATTTTCAGAAGGAATCCCTACTTAGCTCCTAAACTAAATTTGGGAACTATTTTCTAAATGTAGCCTTCTCCATAAGGAACTCATCACATACACTAGCTTCTGTACTAGATAGCCTACAAATGATTATAACCAAAAACTCCAGTTAGAGAATTTCACAGGAATTCACAAGTCAGTATTTCAGACAAATAAAATACCAATGCCTGAATGTTAACTTGCTTGCTGCATGATACCTATGTACCAAGTGGTCAGTTAGGCACTTGGTAAATAAAGACAGGCATACAAAATGGCTTTGTTTAATTTGAAAAAGAGAAGGTGTGAGGAGTGGGAATGTAATCAATGTCTTGACTATTTAGTAGAGAGAGGCGGGTTAGTGAGAAGAGCAAGTCAGGCCAAACTCCTTTTTCATCACTGAATGGGTAATTAAACACTGGAACAGGTTGCCCAGGGAAGTGGTTGAATCACCATATCTGGAGGTGCTTTAAGTTTCTAGATGTGATGCTGAGGGACACTGTTTAAGCATTAGACTTGGTACAGAAAGTGGCAGAGTTAGGTCATGGTTGGACTTGATCAGAAAGGTCTTTGCCAACCAGAATGATTCTGTGATTCTGTGTGCAATTCTGTAGAGGGAAGTCTAAAAGATAAGAAGCAATGTGCAGCAGTTACAGCATAAGAAATTCAAAGCAGGATTTTCCAATTTGGATTTCAACCAGAAATTTATTTCCTAGAGTAACACAGCCTCAGGAAAGGAGCCCAGAGAGGTATTGGATCTCCATCCATGGGTATTTTCAACTAACTGAAAGATGCCCTGGGCCTGTATCTGGTTCAACTTCCAAGTTAGCCCTGCTATAAGCAGGGACTAGAACCTCTGGAAGTATCGTCCAATTCTTTTTCACTTTGGCTTAAAGATATATGCAGAAAAGGTACTTGCAAGGTGGTGTAAGTACAGATTATAACACATCCAAAGACCCAGACCCCAAAACTTTCAGCTTCTAACATGAAAAGGTCCACTCTTGTCTGCTATAGTTAATATTACATTTCAAATAAGAAATGGGCTAAGCATAGCACTAGCAGTCTTTAAGAAAAATGCCTAATCCCAAATCCAACTAAAACTATAGTGACTAGGAAAATGCTCTTTGAAGATCAAGAACTGCATCAGCCTAGCTCCAAGGAGGACAAATTAGTGGCTTCATTATTCAAACTTCCCATAAATGCCTTCTGCAGCACCTGGGAAATTAGTGACTTCAAAATACTGTACAAATCACCACAACAGACATGAAGGACAAGCACATTCACAAGCATCAACTCTTCTCACATAATCAGGAGTATTCAGTGCGTTCATTGGGCGGTATCTTTTAACAGAACAGTGCTCAATAGAGATGCTGGAGTCTTAAAACAGGCAATGGCTCAGCAATCAATAATAAAATATGGTCATTTACACTACCAAAGTTGGTATAATTCCTTGTAATTAGTTATAAAGGTTAATTCCAGTGCTTTGTCAGCCATTTATTTCTAGACCTTGAGGAAACCTTGATTCAGACACAGTCTCTTTCTGCTCAGAGAAAGCCCTTTAAGGAGCAGCTGCCACTGCCAAGCCTTTCATTACCAACATATTTAATCTTCTAAACAGTCACATCAATTAGTTACACCAATTATCTCCACAAAAGACCACATGAAATACATCTTACGTCATGGCCTGATATATTGACTCAATGCCGTAACGCATTGCAAATTCATCCACGATTTCTTGGGCTGTCTCATCAAAATACACCTTCCAGGCATCATCTCCTTTGGCATCAGGGATCTTCACCACCCCATTCCCTTGCACATCTGTGAGATGGTGAAAGAGGTTCTGAAATAGAAAAGAGGAATTACATTGTATGTGAGGCTGCTGAAGCTTCCATGTGAGTTTGATGAAAAGCGTGGAACTTCTGAGAAGAAGGAACTAAGAAATGTTTTTGCTCTCTTCCCTCTTTTTTTCCCGCTACACACTACGTATTTTTCTGCTTTTATGTTATTTTCTTCTTGAATGCTCGTAGACTAGTTTTTTTGCATGGGTATGTACAACTTCACCCAGCAGACATTGAGAATGGTGCAGAAAAAGTGCTGCAATGCAATTCAATTACAAACTAATTAGTTTCCCGAAACCTACGTATTTCTGTCCTCAGAACAAAACGTCTTAACATAGCTAGTTGACCTAACAGCTCTGTAACAGCTTTGTAATTATTATTATACAGCAGAACAATTAAAAAAAACAAATATATATATATATTTGTTTTTAAACAGAATATCCTTATGATCAACCTTAAGAACTAGATACTTGCATTATTATTCAACATAATCTTTGACTTGATCTAACACTGTACAGGTTTTCAGCTATCATTGCTGTGCAGAAATTGCACACTCAACTCAGTGGGTTTCTCAGTAAATTCATGTCACAGATTCATCAGCCTTTCAGACAGCTGGCTCCCTGTAGTAAAGGAAGTAAAAGTCTAATGATCTCATTAGAAGCTAGAGGACTCTGCTTTACACTACTGTTTTTCCTGATTAAATTATTCTAGGTGTAAATCATCTTCATTTTATGATACACAAATCAAAGTAGGTGATACTTAAAAAGCGATGTAAAAGGACAGCAAGTGAAGATGCGTTTTCAGAAGGAAAAAACAAAACAGTTTGCCAAAGAGAGGCCATCTCTGAATTAAAAAACAATAAATGTGTATTGAAGGACACAACACAGCCTACTAAAAGAAGCCTATTGATTTTTTTCTAAGCTTTGTATCTCTCTGTTCCCTGGTAAGGCCAGAAGACAATGTAGGACTCATCTAGCCCAGAATCTAGACAAATAGCTGTTCCCATAGCTGTCATCCTTTACTAATCCAGATTTTATTAAACCTCATGGGACCTCATTATATCATTCTATGTCAGGTGAAAAGGACTCTGACTATTCCTCCTTATTCAGGCACTTAAGAGACTGACCCTGCCACCTGTCTTGTCTTCACCAGATAGACTGGGCACCATGCAACTCTGTGAGACAGAGTTTTCCCCTTAGTCACAGAATCACAGAATCTTAGGGGCTAGAAGGGACCTCAAAAGATCATCCAGTCCAACCCCCCCTGCCAGAGCAGGATCACCCAGAGCACATCCCAGAGGAACGTGTCCAGGTGGGTTTTGAATGCTGCCTGCATTGGTGTGCAGGCATTTCAGGGAGCGAGCTGAGCAGGCTGGTGGCACCCCTGGGAGGTGGGAGGCCTTCTGGTCTTCATTAATACTAGAACAATGTCCCACTGGCTCAAACCCAGCTACAACCCCCTCCCACTTTGAATTTAGCTTAAAGCTCTGTGAATAAGCCCTGCTATCTCCTGCCCTAGGATCCTTTGTCCTCTGTGGGACAGGGTCTTCCCATCCAATGCCATGTTCCCATGATCAAAGAAACCAAAATTCTGCTCCTGACAAGTCACCTTTAGGTTTCTCCCAAGTTCTGCAGCATTGCCTGCCCATCTCAGTCCACCCTGACACAGGTCAGTGCCCAGCAACTGCAGCTTATCATCTGTTCCTCAGCAGTTTTTCATAGCTATATACCACTGCAGCAGCATAGAATTTATAACATTAATATACACATAACTCAACAACCAGAGTCGAAGCCCCCCCAGACCTAAAGCATTTTAGTATGTCTTCTCTACAGAAGGACATAAGTTCAGTACATGTGTAAGGAAATGTGTAAGGGGTTTCTCCACATTAAACCCATAGGGGGCTTAGAGATGGACCAATGCATGACCTCTGCCTGACAGCAGCACAGCTGTGACAGGAGGACAGGCTGTGACAGCCAGCCCTTAGTGGACCTGAAGCCTTCTTTGCCTTCCTGACAAATGCAGGTGTGATGATTCAGCATGTATCCAGGCTCGCAGAGCAAGGAAAAGAAAGCTTCATCTAAGGCAAGGAGGAGCATTTCAAGGAAACAAAGGTTAGAAAATTGCTTCTTTGAGAGACACAATAGACATGGCGATGACTGAGCTGAACTCGTTTCTTACCTCGTGAAGGCAAGTGTACTGAACATGATATGGAGCCACCTTCTCCTCGCCTTTGATCTCCACGCTGATTTGCAGGCGAATAGCCCCAGACACTGCAGACTTGTCTGTTCTCTTCTCTACAAGGAAAAATGATTAGCAATCACATGCATTTTACATCTTCAGAGCACAGCCATCTTGGGGTAAAAACACTGGAAAAGAAACTACTGGAAGCTCAGGCTGACCCTGTGCTCAGAATCACCATCAAGAAAATGTCTAACCTTTTTCTCTCAAAGTTTTGAAAGACTGACAGTCCTTCTGACAGCGAGTCTGCTATAGGGTTCTTAGCCCTAGATTCAGGCAGCTGAACCAGAACCACCAAGGGCAGATATCTCTTCTGAGAACAAGGCTTACTGGTGTCAGGAATTTGTTCCTCACTTCATCATAGTGGTAAGCTCCTGGGAATGGCTTGCTGCCCCTATGAAGAATTTGGACCTCCTCTGGTTACTTGTCAGTACATTCTACAATGCAACATTTTGGCCACTTTGAAAGGGTCTCAACAACATCCCAACCCAGTGTAGTGCACTTACATATCTTAGGGACTGGTAAGATGCTTGTGTCAGCACAAAAATAGGCACAGAATAGGAAACATGTTGCCAGCACAGACAGAAACCCAATCCTGCTGCAAGTATTGACCTACTGAACTTCCTAAAGCCTGACAGGGAAAAATCCAACACCCTTCTGACATGTTACACTCTCTCTCTTCATTTTACCTGGGATCAAAGCCTGGCAGCTCCTCCACAGCACCATCATATGCCCCTTGAAATGATCATAGAATCATAGAATCTTAGGGGTTCGATGTGGAGCTTTGTTTTGGTTTTTTTCCTTCTTGCAAACTGCCCAGATGCACCCAAGTGATCTTGAACATTCCCAAACTAACATGAGAGATGCTTTGTATCCCAAAGCCCTGCTTACCAAGGTTGTACCACACGTCCATTTCTCCACTCAGAGTACGGACTTCAATGATTGTCTGCCCCAGGAAATCATCCGACTCGCGCTTCAGTCTCTGCTTGACGCGAGACTTGATGTCATCGTCTTCATCCCACACGCGCACCTTGATCCGGTCAGAAGAGTTATGGCACTCACTGCAAACAATGATGAAGAGCACATAATGCTGCCAATTTTTATATGCTACATGCTTCATTTTCCTCTTGAGCCACTCGTCCAACAGCAGACAGATGTGTAAACAAAATGTAACCAAGTGCCAATTTATTTACAAGTGGAGCATCTGACAGAAACTACACAACAACCTTTTTGTGTATGCTAAATGCTCCTGTGCTATGATAGATACTGCACTTTAGATGCCTGCTGAGCGTGCTCTGCCCTGACTGCAACCACTAACTTCAGACTTGCTAAGTGCCTGCAACTCTTCTGCTCATCCTCATTCTCAGCAGCAGCTCCCTAAACTTGCAAATTCTCTTCCCAGTTGCTGCTTTTGCTGTGAAGCCCATTAAAAGCCTGGTGATAGCTAGGCTGGTAAGCTCAGCCTACACACCCCAAAAATGATGATGAGAGCCTCACTGGTTTCTTATAGCTCTCCCCATCAACGACCTTTTCTTCAGCAATATGGCATTAAAGGCTACTTGTGCTTATGCATGTGCAGCACCGAGGACAGCACAGTCCAGGCCTATGACAAAAACTCTTCATGCTGTTTTCTAACAAAAGATAAACAGCTCAGGTAAAGGTAGCTCTCTCACTTCAAGGTAGTCACAAAGCAGTAGTCTATGAATGCACAATACATTACAGTAGGTTAATACAAATGCTGTATTATGGGAGGGAAGGGCGGGATATAGCATTTGTGGGAGGAAAGTGTGGGATACAGCAGTTATAAAGTTGGTATTTAATTACTAGTATTGATTCTGTCTATTATATACAGCTCAGGCTGATACTTTGTGCACCGGACAGATCAGAAAAGACGTTTCCATTTGAAAAAAAAAGCAGTTTACTGTTTATGGAATTGGCACTCCAGCTTAACGCATAGGCAGAATCAATATCCGCCCTTTTAGGTGTTCAGGTACCTGTTGTACACAAAAACAGGCTTCTGGATGTCAGAAGTGGATAAAGAATGTTATTGTAAGAGCTCTGCTCATTTACAGGCATGCAATCCAATAAAGCAATTTGAATGCTCATATGAGACCATGACAAGGGTGATTACTCACTATAACTACTACAAATGTCTGCCCTCAAGGAAATAAAACCTATGAAAACAGGCAACTTCTGCTGAAGCCTGTTTTCCAGCCTTTTTACTTTTAAAACGCTGTATCTGTTGCTAAGCAACATGGAGAAGGAAGAAATGGGTCAGAAGAGATCTGCTAAGCCCTGTCAATAGATGTGTCAGTGACTGGTATCTGCATTTGTATTTGGGCTCCTATTGCACCCATCATGATTCAGGACTGCTTAACAGACATCCATGCAGCTCCTAACAATTTGTATTTAGCACAGAGGAATAGCTTGGAATTACATGGATAAATTAGAAACAATTCCAGTCATTGGTCCCCCCTCTTTGCTGTGCAATCAAAGCTGTATTCAGAGTTCAGAAGAAAGAAGGTTTAATATTCCCTTCTGCCTTTATTATTTTCCTCCTGAACTGCTCCAAGGATGTTTGCCTTTAACAAAACCATGCAGCAAGAGTTCACAAGGAGGGAAAGCTTGGACTGCTACTCTTTATAGCTCTTAAATTTATCTGAGTGCATTGCTATATCTACCAGCAACACAGCATAAGCATGCAAATGAAATCCTCTATTCCTGACAGGGTGCACTAATGTATATCCTGGCAGCATCACAGTGGCTCAGTGTTCAGAAGTGCATTGGTGCCTAAAAACACAGATTAGCACATAGTGCCATTTACAAGGCACCAGCAAGTTAGCTTCTGACTTCTTCAGAACTTACCTTCTGGCATGCCAGTTCTTAGTCAGGACCACTTTGATCCTTTTTCTTTGTTAACAATGGTCAGAAACTGCTCTGTTCTTTAGGAAAACATTCACTGTTTACACCTACATCTACCCTAGGCAGTCCCACATGCATCATCCCACACTCCTGGAGAGGATGGCTGTCATCCTTCATCCAACTACAGCAGCATAACTCACTACTAAGTGCTGTGGGAAACTTTCCAGTAGCATTACTGATGTAGTGAAGCTTCTGTTTTGCCACACCTCTGCTGTTTTTAAAAGACAGCTCAATTCTTATTCCTCATGCTGTTCCCATGCCAGAGAGTGAGTCTTATCACTCACTGCAGCCAAAAGCCTGGTGCTGGTGGCACACTATGGTAAAACATTACCATCTCCTTTGAACATAATTTCCCCCTTTACTTGGCTCTCCTGCGAGTCCACCTGCAACACTGTGTCCAGTTCTAGAGCCCCCAACCTAAGAAGGACATGGAGCTCCTGGAGAAAGTCCAGAGGAGGGCTACAAAGATGATCTGAGGGCTGGAGCAGCTCTGCTATGGAGACAGGCTGAGAGAGTTGGGGCACACCTTCCAGTAGAGGGGAGATTTAGGCTAAACATTAGTAGGGAATTCTTTAGTGTGAGGGTGGTGACACACTGGAAAAGGTTGCCTAGAGAAGCTATGGCTGCCCCCACCTTGAAGTGCTCAAGGCCAGTTTGGAAGGGGCTTGGAGGAACCTGGTCTAGTGGGAGGTGTCCCCGCCCATGGCAGGGAGGTTGGAACTAGATGATTTTTTAAGGTCCTTTCCAACCCAAACCAGCCTGTGATTCTATGATTCTTTGATGTAAGTCTCTAGGAACCACAGCCCTTGCTTTCGGTGAAGCAAGACAGCTGTGTCAACACCAACTCACCTCCAGAGAGCACCCCAAAATACACCCGTGAATACTGGGGATTGTTAACCAATAACAGGCTTTCTAACCGATAAGAAATAGTTTCCAATTTGTGACAGCATCACGACTCTGTAAGACTGTGGCTAACAATCTCTGCTGCTAGAAACTTTCCCCTTCATTAATACAGAAGCTGGTACCTTTCTAAAGGTGCCTGCCCCACTTCTTGCTACATTTTTTAAAAGTCTGACTTCAGTGTGTGCACACATACATCCACCCAGTCTCCCACGATGAGCTCCCACAGCTTTCCCAAGAGGATGAAGAGAGAAGAAACTCTGTGGCCTCATTACAAGGAAGGAACTACTGAATGCATGCAGGCCCATTTCACAGGGCAAGAGAAACAGGTTCCCTTTGTATGTGGCTCAGAAACTGCCACTTTTTTTTATATCCATATAGTGTCCTGATGTTTGCCTTTTTTATAAAGAACTTACTTTACACTTCAAGTTACCAAATAAAGTAACATTTTCAGGGAACAGCACACCAGATACTTAAGAAAAAATTAAAATAAAATAAATTGTGATTTTTTTCCCATTAAGTTTTTTTTTCTGCCTGAAGCCAGTGTTTGCAGGAGCAGTGGAAGTAACTGAGCCTGGCTCTGCTGACTTACTCTCTATATTGCTCTCTACCTCGATCTCTTCTGCCACGTTTCCCTTCAGCCTTACCGAACCCCAAGCCACCAGTTCCCCACAGGTGTCCTCTGCACCATCAACATTCTGAACTCTTCCCATGCTCAGCAAGCAACCAGGCTGAGGGGAAGCATGTGAGCACACAAAGCTGTAGTTAATTCTGATCTGCACACATAGTGGCATGCCCATACGCAGGCTAACTGGTATATTGGCAGTTAAACAGAACAAGCAACCGCTGAACTTAACAGTATAGTGCCTCCCACAATTAAGTTACTAATTTGTATCCTCCTAGCTCCAGCTCCACAACAACTTGTAAAAAGTGCTTCTTGGTTCTGAGACCTCTGCCCATCTGTAAAGGCTGGAGAAAACTGGCTAAGATTCTGTCAAGAGGTCTGGAGCGTGTATCGCATCTGCCTTGTCTCCTCCAAAAAAGTGGAGAAAAAGAAAATGGGGAAGTATCTAATAATTACCAGAACACTACATTTGAGCCAGAGATTCATGGTCTGACACCAAAACCCCAATTACATTTGTGCTGAATTTGCAAATCATGTGCTGCTTGTGCTAACAAAACTTGCAGGACTGTTACCTAAACCTCCACAGGAACACTCAAGCCAAAGTCCTAAGCCTTGTTAAGGTGTGGCAACACTCAACATTTGCAAAAGTCCTGCCATAAGAGACACAAAGTTTTATATGTATAAAAGTGCATCAAGCAGTTCACAAAATTATCTCTGTCCACATAAGTTTAAAACATACAGAGTGCCAAATTAAAACCCTATAACCTTCTAACACCAGTAGATAATGTTGCTGAACTTACACTCAAAGACAGAGTCTGGTAAATACCCAGAAGGATGAAGGGGGGTCCATTTGCATCGCATCTGCGTGAATGTTTCTTCCCAATGAATTTCTCATCTTAAAGTTGTTACCAACATGTTAGCCCTGCAGGACACATCAAGCCTTCTGTTTCATTCCACTAATGTTGCAGTGAGATCTGGACTATGCATCTCTAAAAGGCACTGGGTAGACTACAGAAGTGGGACACCCACACAACCCTAGCACTCAACATGCCCATTTTACATACAGATCTTTTCTTAAATTATTTTGCTTTCTTGCATTTTTTCCTGAAAAAGATGAGAACCCAGAGGCCCCACATGCAGTCAGCACTTCACTGTGCTTGGCAGCTCTTAAGAGTGAAAGACAGTCCCTGCCTTGTAGAGCTGACAGGCTAATAAAAACAAAAAGCAGTAAGTAGATGTCATGAAAACGAACAATGAAAGTGAGGGAGGCAGAGGAAGTAATAATATTTTGCAGACTTAAAAGCTGGTTAGTCAAGCCCAGAGTTAAGTAGTTTTGTTATGGCTTTATACTAAAAAATATCTGGTTCATATGGCCATTTTCTGTGAGCAGCTTCTCTTCTGCACCACAGCAGATGCAACTCTCAAGAAAGCCCTGTGAAGTTTTACAGTTCAGTGCAGGGGACATTTTATGCAATGGTATGGAAAGAAAGAAAGTGCAGAGCTGCTTGCAGAAATAATGGATGGGAGTACAGGAGGTGGGAAAATACACTGGAGAGAACAGATCAGCAAGACTTCAGGAACTGTGATCATTTTAGGAGGGAAGTTTTGTTCTGAGGAGCAAAGCTTAGAACAAAAAGCACAAACATTTTCTGGACAATGAGAAAAGGAGCACTTGTAGCAACTAGTACGAGAAAAGCCAGTAAAGACTTAAAACAAACACAGAGGGAGAAGACAAACATGAGGATTTGAATGTGGTTTAAATGAAGTGTCTTTACAGGGCATGGCCCAACTGACAGCTCTGTTGTGGCCAATCTTGTTGGGAATGGAAAGCAGAACACTTACTGGGACCGGTTAATTTTTAAACAATGGCAAGTCTCCTCTATTAGGGAGAAAAAAGGACACTGCAGAAAACACCTAGGGCAAAATCAGATTGGTAAGAAAACGAAGCTAAAATCCTTAGCAGCTTAGAAGTTAAGCATGGCAGAACAATAATATGCCCTGAGATGCAGCTGTTGCTGTCTAAGAACAAAGAAATTAGTTTTCTGTTCCTACTAGCATGAGACTCTTTTCTTCAGGGAACAAGTAGAATCATTTTGTTGTTACTCAGTGCTACAACACCAACCGCCAAATTAATGGTGCAGCTCTTCTAACTACAAAGAGCAGATAAAGTGATTCTGAGCATTACATCCTTAGCTACATTAACTCAGCTCCTCAACAGGCACTTGCCACAAGGCATGAACTCTGTGTTCAGATTTAAGTTTCAGGTTGGTAACTGAGCAGGGAAACAAGTAGGATTTTCTTGGAGTGTCAGTTTCAGTATTTTCAGTACTTGGAGAATAAAGAAAGCAAGATAAGCTGAATGGCCCCTGCTAAGCAGTGAAGGGAGGCCAAGGGGGCAGAGTTACATACAGTGACATTTTTAAGTACAGTCGTAGCAGAAGGGGAAGTCTACAGTACAGCTCTGGAACAGTCACATATAACCACAGAGGTAAATGAAACATGCTGGGCATGATAACAGGTTCAGC